AATTTGCATGGCAAGGTCTTCGATGCAGCTGTGGTGGTTGGGTCGTGCCAGCCATCGGTCTCACCAAAGCCCGCGTCGATATCGCATACCAGGTCAACATGGCTCAGGGACCAAGAGCTAACCCTGCCATCCGCCTTCCTCCGGGAATGCGGGTCCCGGCAGCTAATGAAGCTGGGCGTGGCAATCTTTGAGATGAGTGATGAATACCATACATGCATACATAGTTTTACGAGTCATGAAAGCTTAAGCTCCAACTTATATTTGTTTATGGCTTGGTTTTTTTCAATTTGGTTCCGGGATAATCATATCAACCAACCAAGGGGGCTCACCGGGCTTGTCGTGAGCGACATGCGGTACATCTTAGCTCGGGCTTGAGAACGACTGCAAAGCTGGGTCATCATCACTGAGGCACCCACTCTTTGGGGAGGACCACGTGCCCCATGCGGAGAGTGAACATTGTCGCCGGCCATAAGAACATGACTGCCTTACGTCGTTTTACTTCGTACTCCGTACAGGCATCGACAATGGCATAGTGAGGCTCACAAACACAGCCTCCGGCCTTCCCAAACAAGCCGCTAAAGCTGACAGGAGATTACTCCGTGCTCCATCCCATGATCTACAAAAGCAAGACACACATTAGGCAGCACGTCGGCCGACATGCCCCTGCTGATCTGTACAGCCCCTATGATATCAATCCATTGTAAAACACCCAAGCCATCCTGATGTCTTCCGAAAGCTACCCAGCCATTCATCTTATGATTTGTCCACAATACCCCCGTTGGTCGATACCCAGGAGCCATGTCCCACAGAGCAACACATGCACTGTGCACAAACTCAAATATAGAGAGTAATACAGCGTCGGCGATATGAGACAAAGCCAAGACCTTATTTCAAATCGTACATGGTAATTGAAGTCGAGCCCGGCTTACCCTACCCTAGGGCTGCACCACATATCAACATGCATAAATCGACTCGTGGCCTTAGCTAGATTAACCCTTGTTTTTTTTGGGGGGGGGGGGGGNNNGGGGGGGGGGGGGGGTTTGGTTTAATTGCCGAGTGAAATCCCATCAAATCGAGCCATATGCAGCTAAACAGACACCAGGCAACGTACTCCGGTAGTTAATCGCGCGCCAAGGACAACCCTGAGTTTCTCCCAAAGCCCACAAAAGGGTAGATCCACGCAAACTCATACTCCACTTGTCATCTTCTGTCTCTTTCTCTCACAAAGTTTCTTCTTACAACATAAAAGTGGCCCCACTCACCGAAGCGCTGTCAGGATGTTTCAAGGGTCAGCGTAACGCCAATGACGCTGGGATTGACCGATTCAATTTCCCCCCCTTCTGTCGACTTCCAAGGTTTGAAGCAGAAGGAGGCTGTGCAAAGCGGGTCTGTTTCCTGGGCTTCCCGATTGGTTGAGTATTTGTATTGTTATTACCGGTATCGGTTTGGTATGTGTTTGTTACTGGGGTTATCTTGTATCTTTGCAGAAGAACTCTTGTACAACCTACGGAGTATTGTTCTCTAATTAGAGCTTTTTATACTATACACACATCTCTAATATGATTTATATTACGGAGTAGTTGTAGATTTTCTTAGTGTACAAGCCCTTATTACTTCTGCCCCTTCGACTACAAGCTAAGACGCTGTATACATACTTGCCACATTCATATTGTGATTGGCAACCCTTTCCTTGTGGGGGTGGGCAGTGCACTGCCTTGCAGGGGGAGCTTCCCCCGGTGGAGTTCCCATCTGGTCTGGCTTGGGGAACTTAACAAATGTACAGGTACCACGTCCTTTCCATCCATCATTGTTACATAGTTTATCAATGGATGCGGTTGTGATCGCCTTGTGTCGATCGCTGGCATTTAAGTTTGTTTCGAATGTGTCTGGGATTAGGCTTGGTATCTTGGTATGGGCGATAGGTACAGAACATAGTAACTTACGATGCAGTCCAATTAGGAGAGTCCTTAAACAATCATTTATATATGGGATTATCCTATAACCCTTGTTCTAAGGATTTTACCATTCAAAAATAGTACTCTCTAGTCTCATTTCGTTCGCTGTATAATATCTGCGCGTATATAGAATACTCCGCGTTGAACAGGCCTTGTGCTTCGTGGCGACATTTGTTGTCAACTAGTGAGCTACCAAATATAGGCTACCAAGTACTTGTAGCTAAATAAAGATACCACGACGGGATTTACACCAACGAAGTTTGAACAACACATGTATATCATGTACTATACTCACTTGAGTACGGAGTACGGAGTACACAGGGGGTATATTCATGTCTACCTACAACATACGCTCATCATTTCAGATTAGTACTATATATAGGAGTCATAAATGCATCCAAAACCTATAGTGCTATTTCCGTCAGCCGCGTGCTTTAGTGCTGCGTAATTCATTATCTCGACTTGCAAGGCAGCATTCAATCAATAATCTTGATTAGAGTACGGAGTAATTAGAAAGAAATTACGATTCTCCAGAAATTCTAGATCGTGTCACTTCCAGGCAGCTGTATTGTTAACTGTAGTTGAATCTTGACTTGTCTATATTAGTCTTAAAAGTGTTGTGGGCATGTAATTGTCTACTTATGTTTTAGGCTAATTATATTGACTTCATGTCTTATTAAATAATGTAAACAGCCGGGTAACTAAGTCGCATTACACGTACTCTGTAGAGCTTATTACTTAGTAGCTACGTTGAGAAAAGTAACAACTATAGAGATCCATCTTACAAGAGTACAACATAGCACCCACCACTGAACAACTTTTATACCCACTTGCCTAATACCCGCGTACATAGCAAGACCGCAATGTGAGGGAGGACACAGGTCGTCACGTATCGGAGCCGGCGTTTCCAGCACTGTGCCGGCCATGCTATCCCCATATTTATCTTCTTTGGCTCCATACGATAACAGGACATCAAAATCGAGCAGATGAGTACAGAGGGACTACAATCAACCCTTGTAAGCCACCTACGTATGGACCTTGCCGTTGACCACTAATTTCTCATTCCTATTCCCTCTGAATCTATTAACTAAGGGACGAGAGAAGGGCTTTACCAGGCGACGTGCGAGCTTAGAATAAAAGCTGCAACGTGAGAAAGCCATTATCCAGGAGGAAGCTTGACAGAAGTGGATGCAACAGCTACAGCCCAACCCTCATCAACAATGCCCACCGGCAAAATGGGGAAAGACACATAAGGGGCTAGCAGTGATTCACGTTCAAGAGAAACAATGTCCCGAATAGCAGTTTTCTCCAAATAGAGGACATGCCAAAGACGATCCACCAAAGGATAGAAGACGGTGCATCAAGTCCAGGTTCTTCAATTTGTCAAATTTCTCTTGGATCTCAGAGACATCCACCCTATAATCTTTGGTGATTTTTACCAAGGTAAAGTGAAGATGGATATAGGCCGAAGTATCAAAGTTGGTAATGGCCATATTTAAACAGTCACGCTCAAAGTTCCATGCTTTAAATAGCCAACAGCAACGAACTTACGAAGAAGTGGGCAAGCCCTTTCCATAGATTGGAGGCACTGCTCATACTGGTCCTTTTTGCATCTCCAACACTTTCCAGCTCTTCGCGAAGCTGCAATGGAAAGCTTGCATTGGCCTACACAATCAATACAGGACCTAGACGCATACAACTTCTGTAACACTACCCCGAGCAGCTGAAGACATCTAAGACATCTCTATGGCTCCGAAAGAAGCCGGAGGGAGCCGAGTCCCCACACGCGGCCTGGAATTTCCCGAAAAAAATACGATTCTTTTCTTCCATTCTTTCAACCTGCCCCTAACAGTGAGTCCATGCCTATCTGCTCTGCCGCCCATACACCCCCGAAATTGAAGCAACAACATCTACAGGCTAGCATCTTTCATCAAATCGGCGCTCTTAGGTCAATAAAATGATTCGCCGAACATATATCTGTTTGGTAAAGAGATATGTACTGTCTCGTCTCGTCGTTCTTACGTGTTGTTCTCAGATCAGTAGCATGCCAAGAACCACAAATCGTTTACTATACTCCTACATAATATTCAAATACTATAAACTAGTGTTAAAATGAGTTAATTTGCTAAAACTTTTGCCCGGCCGCACAAGGCTTGTCACTAGTTCCATCAAAGGGCACAGGAACAAACCAAGCAAGCCTAATAGGGCTGCAGCAGGTTCATCCGATAAGTTTGCTGGCTTCGCCTCAGGTCTTAAACAGGGTTCGCTTTAGCCAACTAGTGCTTATTATATCCCCACCTAGCAGCACAACGGTCATGCAATACAGGAAGAGCATCGTGGCACTGAGCTATTTTAGTAATCTTCGGTCTGGGGATGTATGTAATCGCCCGGGCGAGAGTAGCTGAGGATTCGTTTGTAATACGGGATCTCATTGGACGCCTCTCAGACAAATATGTACTAAGAATAACCAGGTTACTTGGAAATCACCGGCTTGGGGGCTTTGCTACTGCAGTTGGCATCCTGCAGGATCAGAAATTCGTTTGTTCGAAAGATAAATGGAGTCCATTATACTCCGTTCATATGGATTCTAAGGCTGTTTGTGCCCGAGTCAGGTGCGCCCCGTGCCGTGCCGGGAGCCAATACCACGTCGATGGCTTGAACCTTCTTTCACCGGCTGTGGATTGTATGATTCGCTGGGAATTGCGCGGCAAGTCCGCTAAGAAATAAAGATGTAGAGATGTGAGGATATGAAGCTTGTAGGACTCAATATTTCCACATGGTTGCATCCGATGTTCTCCGCAGCCCGGTTAAACAGAGAGTAAAATAGATGGTTTGATAATCAGTTATTGATAAGAGCATTAAACAGTCCGCGTGAAGCGATGGACATCAGTTGTTAGACATGCATTCGTTATTTCGCAGCGTCTTCTCTTTACCAGGAGCTTCTGTGTGCCTGCCAGATCGACGGAGGACGATGGGTGAACCAATATGGCGTACTTATCTCAAACTACCTATATTGACGCCCAAAGAATATGATTGAAGAGAACTTTAAGGATTTCCCGACGGCACAGAGGGAAACAGTGAAGGCTGCCTTAATCTTTCCTGGTTGCGTTTCGCCATTTCAATATTGCGCAGCCGGTCGATGCGCATCTGATAGAAATTCCTGTTTCGCTGTTAGGAGCCACTATTATGAAAATGATGTTTATCACGTACTTGTGCAAAGAGAAAATTCGAGGTGAATCATCTGACTTTGTCTCCGTCCCAGAACCTTTCTGGATAGAAGCGATCTGTCAAGGAGAATCAGTCAACACGTTCATACGAGACATTTTACTTGATTCATTTCGCTGCAAAAAGACACGAACCTTATCATCTCTGTCTTTTTCATCATTCGCGTTTGACTCAGATGCATCTTTGTTTTTGGTCTCGTCTTTGCCCTTATCTTTTTCCTCTTTATTGTCCTTGCTAGACGCCTTCTCACGCTCTTTCTTTCGTCGTTGTTTTTCTTCATATTCTTTTTTCACCTTTTCAATCTCCTTGGCCATTTCCTCTTCCTTGAGCCGTTTTGCTTGGCCCTCTGTGTCGACAATTGGAGAGCAGAAATGCTTGTCTTGCAAATGTGCGGGGCACACGTAGAAGAAGTCCTGAGTGAATTAGCCACTTAACATGCATAAAAATGGGAAATAAAGCGAAGGAACAATCTTATACAGTATACTCTGGGTTGGAGAAGAGATTGCATACCTTGTTATCCGGTGTGATCATCACACTGGTTGATGGTTTGTAGCAAATCAAACATGCTTTTGCAGAGGTATCGGCGACCCGACGCACATGATAGACGTTTGTCAATGACATGACTTCAAATCAAAATGGTTGCTCTAGTCTACTGAGGGTGTTTCAAATTCTCCGTTGCTGCTTGGAGGTTGTGCTGAACAACTGGATGGACTCGATGAGGTTGGTGTTGATTGAGAAAGCGCCGTCATGTGACCTATACTTCTAAGAGCAAATCGGACCTATCCAAGTCTTAACAGAATAATTGGAATTCAAAATGATCTTGTTGATGGAAATAAGGTATTCATTTACTAAAGCTGATACTGTATTTCAGCTAGCACCCACCACGCCCATCTTAACAGAACGCCTAACCATGCATTTGTCCACTGATATCGATCCCGATAGGACTAAGAACAGGACGAGAGATAGCAATACATGAAGTTTTGTGAAGAGAAATCATGAGATATAGTGAGCATTAAAAAAATTGCAGGGAAAAAAGACCATCATAGATCATAACACCTCCTCCCCATCGATGCCAGCTGCCTCCTTTGCTAGCCTCAGATCCTTGCCTGCGATACCGATATCCCGCAAGTAAGGCCTGAAGGCTGTCAGTAGATCTTTGAGAGCACCGCGGAGTGCAGCAAGCACAATTTCAACATCCGGAACGAGACGGGCAACTGCTTGCGCCTGGGGATCGCTCGATGGAGGGAAGTTGATATCGGTCCAGTGGGCATCTAATCCACCCTGGTGAGCAAATGCATCCAGGGTGAGGGTGGTTTGGGTCAGAAGTCGCACGGCTGAGGGCACATCGGCCTGGACTTTGCCATACGGATCCTCGGCCAAGCTTGCAATGAGAAGTCGAGTCAACGACTCCACTGCATCCACAATCAAGGATAGAGAGGACTCTGGTGTGCCAAGAACAATAGCAGAGAGGCGTTGGGCGTATGTTTGACGGAGAGGTTGACCAATAGGCGAACGAAGAATCTGTGCCAGAACAGGGTTCATGTCCTCGGGCTTATGAGTTGTAAAGGGGCCGCCGGTAAGTAGCTTGAACTTCTGGGGAGAGCCGAGATATTTCTGTTTCTGCTCAGGGCTAAGCATTGCTGATGAGGCCCGGTCAAATACATCACGGACTCGGGCTCGCGCAGTTGGAGTCCAGTCTTCTGACTGACCGAAGGATTTAGCCGCCGAGCTAAACGCATCGCCAAATTTGTCCTGGCTTGAAGTAGCCTTCGGGGCAGAAGTAAAGATGTTGTCATCTTTAATCGGTTCTGAGAGTCGCGGGAGGGTTTGAAGAACAGGCTCGGATTTCTCGGCTTGTGGCAAAGGCTTGGTAACAGGTGCGGGATTTTTGCTTTCCTCGATGCGAGTGTTAATGGCCTTGATTACATCGGTAGTGCAAGTGAGAACCTGGGACCAAGCCGAACCACCCTCGCGATCAATTTCATTGAAAATTGCCTTCCGGCGGTCGGGAACGCGCTGGCTGATGAGACTGAGTTCCCAGAGCGCGAAAGTCTTCACAATTTCCTTCTTCGCCTTGAGGCCGCTAAGAAGACTGCCATTTGGATCCTTGGCTTCTGTTGTGAGTGGCTGGCCCCGCTTCAGAGGCTCCTTGCCGATGAACACAGTATAGAAGAGATTGGCCGTTTGCCAGGAGAGCACAAGCATCACTCCGGGGACCAAAGTTTTGAAGAAGAAGTAGGGGAAAATCGAGGGAATGAAGCTCTGAGGCTCGGCTGCAGATCTCGGGAAGCTCCAGGAGAGCTTAGCAAAGTACAAAGACCAGCTCCACGCAAAGCTTCTGAAAAATATCGGGTAAATCACGAGGGATGCTCCAGCAACAGTGACGCTTCTGAGAGCCCCGGCCGCCAATTCTGGCAGCAGAGCACCCTGTAGATACTTGGATGTTGGCGGTACTGGGTGAGTACGTTCGTCATTTGTTTTGGAGCTTTTCTCCGCGATGGGCACTGCAATGCGGTCGTAGTCGTAGTAAAGGTGAAACACTGCTTGCACGCATGCTAGGAGCGCATGGAAGGAATGGAGGTAAATCGGCCTTTCGTTCAGGGTCGGTCGCTCGTGTGGCCTATATCTCATTAGTCCAAATCTTAGTTATTTAAGAAGAATACTCAACGTACCTGCCCCGTTTCACAAGCTCGAGGTTGGAATCACTTGAAGACGACCATACATAAACCACAGTGAACCACCATGCCGAGAAGATGTACCAGCCAAAGGTTTGCGCGATTTGTAACAGAGTGAGGGATCTCAAGGTGCCAAACGAGGAGCTAGCTGTTCTCGAGCCGATGTGCATTTGACTGACGCGAAGGACAAAAATGGTGAGCGAGGATATGAATAGTAGCGCGGTTCGAACACCGCAGCTACCAAAGGGAAACCATAACCAGAAAACTGCATAGGGTACTTTGATCAGTTCTTTGTGCTTCCAGGACTCGAAACTGAGCCTTCGAGCTTCGACCCAATTAGGTTGCGATGTACTCACAGGACGATTTATCTCCGATCGCAATTGCGATGATATAAGAGACCAGCAGTGACAGTGCAGACGCATGAACAAACCTTCGGTGCAAGGCCGAAGTCAGGATTCGCCTGTAGGGCCGAGTTTGTACGACGGCCATGGTGTAAGCTTGGGAGTGGGATGCGCTCGTGGAAGAGAAGGAAATGGTTGAAGATTAGAGCATGATCAGAACGACCGTCATATGGAGAGCTCCGGGAGCTGAAGAACGGAATTGGCGGACCAGGGAAGGTGTTGACGAATGGTCGCGGCTGACAGCTGGTTGTGTTGAGCTGGTCGGATAGAAACAATCAACGGCGAGGTTCGCCTAGGAATATTTTGAGGCATCAAAACACACTAGCCACATCTAATCATGTGATATGTGGCGCATGGGGTATTGTGCCACATGGGCTAGTCCATATATAGCCTAGTGGTTGCATGGTACGTCATGTGAGGGCGGTCTGCACACCAAGGCGGCTTATCGAAGGCAGCAGGGACCTGCAGATAACTCATTTAGAATCCAGGTTTCTTTTGCCTTCACTTTAACCACTCATTTATTGCTTTTCAATTACACATAGAATGTCTTTTGACAGGCTAAACTCGCTGGAGGCTCAGCCTACCACCATGCGCAGGGATGAAGACCCGCAGTACCGTGATGATCCGGACTTCGACCATCTGGCCGAGCAGCTCTCAGATCAGTTATTTACATTGACATCAAACATCTCTCGCTTATCCAACCAAATTGCTCTTCTCGGAACCAAACGCGATACAGAGCGTGTGCGCGAACGAGTTCATAATCTGCTTGAAGAGACTCGTACGGGGTTTAGAGATGTAGGAGAAGGGATTAAGCAGATCCAGACATGGGAGGACGTTAATGTATGATCCATCTAGTTCCATTCACTGCTGAGCATTTCTTATTAACATCACAAATTATAGCCCTCCCAGAAATGGACTCAGCAGAAGCTATCGTCCGAATTCAAGGCCACCTTGGATGAATTCCAAACTATCCAGCGTCGTGCTCTCGAGAAACAGCGGGCTTCTGCAGTCGCTGCGCGTACAGCATTTGAAGAAGGCGAGCATCCGTCCGGCGAGAACGATGTCCAATTACAAGAACAGTTATTGGAGGAGCAACACCGTATGGCCAACCAGGGCGAGGTTGACTTCCAGGAGTCCCTGATCATCGAACGTGAGGCAGAGATCCGGAACATTGAACAAAGCGTGGGAGAGCTAAACGAGCTCTTCCGGGATGTTGCGCACATTGTTACAGAACAAGGAGGGCAATTGGATATCATCAGCGAAAATGTCCAAAACGTCACCCAGGACACACGAGGCGCCAACGTCGAGTTGCGCAGTGCCAGCAGATATCAGAAGAATGCGCGCAACAGAGCCTGCTGTCTGTTCGTAATCCTTGCCGTTATCCTTGCTATTATTGTGCTTGCAATTGTCCTTGGATAAACATTTCTCTTCTTTTTCCTCGTTCTTGTTTATTGGCTATCATCACGGTCTTCGTCTTTAATGTTGTCATGTATGCGCACGATATCCCTCTTGCATGATTGCACTTCCGTTAGTCAAGCATCTCACCTTTTGCTTCATTCCATTCCCTTGCTTCTGGTTTACGCTTTCCTTGCCAACCTTCGATTCGATTTGTATGGAATAGAGAACATTAATTCATCGCTTTCTCTTAATCCTGTAGCTTGATATCGTACAGAATTATATGTGTTGTACATGCAAAATACACCCAATTGGGTCCCAAATCCTGCCCGTGCTCCGTTGTCGCCTTTGTATGTGCAGTGCGAAAGCATATTCCGCCAGAAGACGATCATCAATGATGCCTTCATAGACCTGTGAAGCGATTGAACCTCAGCCTCCAGCCTTCATAAGTGTTCAATTTGGGCCGAACATCGAGGAAGAAACTGAGCTTCCCGGGGGTGGCATTGGCATTGGCAGCCAAACCCGATGGGGTTTCGTTGCCTCCTGACGGCTTGCCCTGGTAGAAATCGATAACATATTCAATCTTTTCACCACCACAACGCTCAACAACCCAGTCATGCCGATCAAATGGATGCTGGTAGCCAAGCCATCCATTGATTCGTGCACGCGGACTCAGGTACTGCGGGTCGACTCCAAGTCCTCGGAACGAATATAATTTTGGTCCTCCACATTTCTTGCTCCCGGGGTCAGCCGAGGGGCCCTTTTTCTCCCATTCGAGAATTTGATCCCATGCGCGTTCATTGACGGCGTTATGAATGGGGATAATGGAAGCTACGGAAGTTGCGAGCTCTGAGGCGGAAGCAGTAGATCCAGGAGTGTTACCCTTGCGCATCAAGGCCTCGAAAAATTGTTTCTCTGAAGGATAGATCCAATTTCCAGTGGCTTCATCGCGGCCAGTCTCGGATTCGGCATTGGACGGGCTACCATGCGACGCAGCGTATGGGGATGAAGAGGCCTTGTTTGCCTCGGGGCAAGCACTTGCTGAGCTGAAATCACCAGCTCGAGGGATATTGCTCACTTCTCGGTCTGTTGATAGGGGTCGTTGAGCTTTGGCACGTGGTTGTCCCTGTTCGCCAGGGACATCGGAGGTAGGATGAGGTGATTTCCCATTTTGTTGCAGCCAGACCTCACGAGTTTTGTGGTCTACAGGACAAGTTGCTGCTGGCGGCTCCACCGAGGGCGCAGATGGTGTACTAGCTGCAGCTCCCATTGTTGAATAATTGGAGGTCAATGACTGGAGGATGGCGATCGCATCGACGCGGAACTAGAACTACGCCGTAGAAATTATTTTGCCCCCTCACCGCCCAGGCTAATCAACAATCCCCCTAAGTAGGAAATCCCCCCTCGGGTCTCTTATAGTTCTGTAGAAATTTATTATTCTTTCTTCTATTCATCCGAAGCAAAAATGGCGTCTACATCAAACCAGTCTGTTTACCGGGCCACCACCACTGCTCCGGTGAACATTGCCGTCATCAAGTATGCCGCTCTCTGATTACCCCTCATAGTTCTATTCTAACAGAAATATTCTAGATACTGGGGCAAGCGTGATACCACTCTCAACCTCCCGACAAACTCCTCCCTCTCAGTCACACTCTCGCAGCGCTCTCTCCGTACATTGACCACTGCCTCCTGCTCTGCCGAATACCCACCTGCCGATACCCTGAACCTGAACGGCAGTCCCCAAGACATCCAGTCTTCCAAGCGGACACTCGCTTGTATCTCCAACCTTCGTGCCCTCCGCAAGGCCCTTGAGGATGCCGACTCCTCGCTCCCCAAGCTCTCCACCCACCCTCTCCGGATCGTCTCCGAGAACAACTTCCCCACTGCTGCCGGTCTGGCCAGCTCTGCGGCTGGCTTCGCAGCGTTGGTCCGCGCCGTCGCTGACCTTTACGAACTACCCCAGTCCCCCAAAGAGCTGAGCCGTATTGCGCGCCAAGGCTCCGGATCCGCCTGCCGCTCCCTGATGGGCGGATATGTGGCATGGCGTACGGGTGAGCTTGCTGATGGAAGCGACAGCCTGGCTGAGGAAGTTGCTCCTGCATCCCACTGGCCTGAGATGCGTGCTCTTGTTCTGGTCGTCAGCGCCGAGAAGAAGGATGTGCCTAGCACCGAGGGAATGCAGACCACTGTGGCTACCTCCGCTCTCTTCGCTGAGCGTGCCCAGAACGTTGTTCCCGGGCGTATGGCTGCCATTGAGACCGCTATTCAAAACCGCAACTTCCACGACTTCGCCGAGATCACCATGCGTGACTCGAACACTTTCCACGCCACTTGCCTCGACTCGTGGCCCCCTATCTTTTACATGAATGACGTCTCTCGTGCTGCCGTCCGCCTTGTGCACGATATCAACCGCGTTGTTGGCCGTACGGTTTGTGCTTACACTTTCGATGCTGGCCCAAATGCTGTCATCTACTATGAAGATAAGGACTCTGAGGTTGTGGCTGGCACTGTCAAGGCTATTTTGGGCCCCAACACTGAGGGTTGGAACGGCGTATTCTACGAGAGACTGGCCAATGTCACTGCTGGTGTTTCTCTGGATCAGGTTGACTCCCGCGCCGTCGAAGTTCTGAAGGATGGTGTGAGCCGTGTCATCTTGACTGGCGTCGGAGAGGGCCCCGTCAAGGTTGAGGACCACCTTGTCAGTGAGACTGGTGAGATCCTCAGCACTCTTTAGAAAGTTTGAATACGGTATTCCCAATTTGGCCAATCTTGGAAGGTCTGTCAGCCTGAAAGATACCCCACCGTTTTTGTGCGGACATCTCAACTTGGCCATGCAAGCTTGATGCAGATATTCCTTCGCTGTATCTTCTTTTTCTCTCTGATAATCTAGAACATAATAATACCATGGCAGCAATATTCCGGTTTATACTGAAGCAATACATCTGGTTCCATTCCTTATAATAATATATCTTGCACATGACATGACGCAGCACGACACAATACATGCAACCTTGCAAATCAGAATGTTCGCTTCCAACTTTAAAAGTCCAACGTCTGTCTTACTACACTCCCCATCAGGCGAATCCTGTTGTCCTCTCAACAAGAACGACAATCATCACAGCGCCTAAAGCCATATCCCAGCGTCCTACAATTTTCAATAAACCTAGTTTGTTCGTTATTGGCATAAACACAGCAACCTGCAAATCCACAACCGGTATTATTGAAGCTTCCACCAGTTTGAGCACAGGCAGTCTGGGAATTCTCGGCGATACCGTCGCAAACGCATTTGATAGACCTGGCTGTCACTTGGGCTGTTGCTAGCGTGCCCAGGCCCAAGAGGAAAGTGATATATGTTGAGGCAGAGAGGTGCATAGTCTAAATCAAGACATCAAGAGATTGACATCAGCTAACAATCTTAATAAATAATCTGACAGATTCACTTACGGTTCTTGAAAAGGAACGGCCTTGCTTAGGGCTTTTTTGGGATCCTTTCTTGGCTGCAGTCCTGGTATTCAGATGTGGGATATGGCCATTTTTTATATCCCCATCCTGGACACTTTGTACACAACGTTCAGTTGACTTGACAACTAGCCATTCAGGGGAGCACAACATGCATGTGTCAGTTTTGTGTCATCCAGTGAGAAATCTGTGTCTATTGTACTACTTTATCTGGGTAGACGTAGTATATAGGATACATCCTGATTGCTTCAGGATATTCCCCGCACTTTGGAGTCGCATCACTTGCGCTTCTCACTATGTGGATGACCATAGTTCATTTGTGCAACATAGACTTGCAGTTAACTCTTTGGGTGTTCGTCCTGAGGGCCTATATACATATAATTTGGAAGCTCGAGATCAACTATCTTAATTCAAAGAGATATACTTCACTTACTAAGTTCTTCAAGCGTACAGACTGAGCACTTTTTATATTCTTATCCCTCAAGAAAAATGCAAAAGTAATATTAGAAGAATGGCCATAGAACCAAAGTGTACCACGCTTAATATGTCGCGACAGGATGTCCACAGTCAATGATAAGACTCAATATCTCCAACGACTGTACGAAGGCAACTTTCACGCCTAGGCTCCCATCAAGAATATGCTACCGCGGAGGGTATTTCATTGCCGTTATGAAGACCACTGAGTTACCCGTAGAACGCTGCTAAAAGTTATACAAGTGTAACCTGTGGATCAAAGTAGGAGAAACATGGAATAGGGACTTGGCCGCAAAGATGCTATGTGCTTGAAGTCAAATATCCCTTTTTGTTCTCACTTCATAGCAGTATCCTAAGAAGCCCCGTGCTGTTTAATATATATATTGGTCGGACATTGTGTAGTGGAGCTTCCCCGCTCACGGCTGAAGCTCAATATATCGAGGGCTATAAATTCCAAGTCACTTCCTCAAGTTACATACCTGCAAGTTGAATTATTGGAACTGAAGCAACTTTTCTTTTTTCATTTCATAATCTAGATGCTAATTGGCGCAGGCAGTATATTCATAGACTGCTTCAAGCCAGCAAAGAAGACTTCTTCATCTCCTTGACGATAGGGATCTCCTTAACACGAGCGGCACCACCACCCTCAACAATAGCTATACTTTCTCTCAAGACGCCGGCACCTCCGCCCCCGTAAGTAGGAGGGACGGTAGGCTCGATATCATTCTCTTCATCTTCCTGGTCCTCATTCTTTGCATTGGGGGGAGGAACTTCAAATACCTCGTCCCGGCAATCTGCACACATAGTCAAAACTTCCTGCAATGCTTTCTCGACAGCAGCTGCACGCTCACGCATGCCGCGACGTAGCAGAGCATCGACAAGGGTCTCAGTCTCCGCCACACTCGAGTTAACCCGTTCAATGAGTCGTCGGATACTGTTGACAAGATATTCCTCTTCGTAAACGGTGCCCTTCTTACCACGAGCACGCTTGCGTTCCTCACGTCGGCGAGTCTTCGAAGTATGACGTGTCATTCCAGTCTTGCCTGTTTTCCCAGTGTTACCCGTGTAACGAGTAAACATGGAGCGACCAGCAAGCGTAGATGCATCTGTCGGGGCTAGGGAGACATTGTCTGGGATATCGACGCCCGCGTCTCCGCCGGTAGGATCACCGCCATAGAAAGCAAGCGGGTCGGCAGCGCGAAGCTGACGGAGTTCCTTAACCCGAGGGACCTGGGCATTGAGCTGAGATCTGCAGTCGGCAAGCAGGTCCGTCATGTTGCCCATTGCTTCAGCAAGGCCGGAGTCAACGATTTCAGCAACCTGGCTTTGTTTGCCATGGAGTGTAAGGAGACGCGCTGCATCGGCGAACTTCGATCCGCGGCAGAGAAGTCGTGCGGCTGTGACGATGTCATGCAAATGGTCGGCGTAGATGGTCGCTGCCGAGACGTAATCTTTGTTTTCGTCAACCAGGGTTGTGACCAGACCGTCAATGTGGGCAGCCAGATCTTCCTCGGATAGAGATGCCATCATGGCACAGTACAATGACTCGCGCCATTTGTGTGCCAGATTGAAGCACTTGTAAGCACTCTCATAAAGCTCAAGAGACTCGTACGCTGGGGTTAAAAATTAGCTGGCTGTCGTTTTGTCTTGCTGTGTTACAACCAAGCCACTTACCAATTGCTGCGTCCTTGTATTTCGACTGATCCTGTAGATAATCGGCATAGAGCTCAGTGATTTGCCGTTGTTGCTCTGTTTGGTACTTGTATAGCTCAAGGGCTTCCTTATACAAGACATGCTTGACGACATATGCGCCGATCTCATCGTGAGCATTGAGAGCATACAAATGTCCCAGAGCTTTTTCAAAGCGAGAAAGGTGATTGTCGATCTCAAACTTACGCCGAGTCTCTGGGAGCTGTTGTAGCTTACGCAGGAATGGTAAGTACTCGCGAGGATCCTGAGAATTCGTTAGTGATAAGTCATAACACAATCACATGAAAGTCTTACCATCTGAGCTTGTTGAGCAACCAACAATGTAAGCTCAAGATCGTATACACCCAACGCGTGAGAGTAAAGCCGGTGAGCATCGGTCAAGAAACACATGTGCGCAATAGCATCCTCGGCCTGTTCGGGATGTTGTACTGCGATAGGGTTAGTTGTTATCCAGGTATCAAAAAAGATGAAAGAGCCTAGTACTTACTTCTTAGTCCAGCAGCAAGTCCCAGTCCTGCCTCCATGTCAGGAGGCGACTTGCAAACATGGGCTGTGATCAGATTCTGCAAATTGGTATCAACGCGGCTTTGAAGAGCCGCCAGGAATGCATCACAGATCTTGTTGATTTTGCTCTCCTTTTTGCCAGTTTTGGGCACCGAGGAAACTGCTGGACCATCCGGCTGAGCAACAGCTGCCGATACGTTCTGGGATATTTTCAGTGTGTCTTTATACAATGTCTGTGACACATCGTCCTCCCTATGTGAGCGTTAGTGGAGTGTTTCTTTCAAGATTTATTTCAAGACTGGATATCGACTTACGACAGGCGCGATATGAAATCATCAATGTAATCAATCTTCTTGACTTGATCAATAAACAGAGTGATGTTTTCCATGAATTGCTCAGGAGCATAATCATGGAGAATGTTGAGATCCACCATCTGGCTGCGACAGGCAAGGAATGCAGATCGATATTTCTTCTGGTCGATGAAGGTACGGATTCCAGCCAATACTAGAGCGCGAGGGAAGATCGTCTCAATATTTCCTCGGGGAGCTTGAAGTACGACCGCGAAAATCGACGGTATCACTGAAACCAACCGAGAACCACGTTCAATGCTTCTGCACCGTTCATCGGTTTCTGGTGTATCCTCGGGAACTTCCATTTCTGCAGTCCCCATGTTAGCTTATGAAGACACAAACGCCCAAGAAATCGATCTTACCATTCACACGGTTCAGATGAACAAACTTCAGAAGATGCGCCGATGTGGTGAACAAAAGATGAGATGGGGTGACGAGGAAAGACGTGCAGTTCCTCGCAAGAACTCGCTTGTTAGCATACAAGGCTCCAGTTCTTGTCATTGCAATCAAAATGCGCTACCAAAGTCAATAGGAAGCTCCAAATACAAAGTGAATATGATCTTACCTCGTCCTCGGAGATAGAGACAACACGAGCCCAGTGGCTGTCAACATTGGGGCTCTCGCCCCATGGAGCAATATCTAGATTTCCTGATGGCGACTCTTCAATGCTTGAGTAGCTGACAGGACGAGCTGGTTGGCGGGCATGTGAGAACCACAGAGCTTGGTGTCCAATTCCGGCGAAAATCGATGCCAGTTGCTCTTCATCTGCAGCCTGGTATACAAATTCGGTGGTTCGAGTATCCAGGATCGTCCTCTCAATATGGCTCGAGTTTGGTCCGTTGTCCTTGAGCACATATACCTCGTTCTCATTCAAGAATGCAACCTGCCGGGGCCGACTGGTTGGGGCATCTGATAATGGATAACTTGACTCGAGGATAGGAACAGGAACAGGTCGGCTCTTCAGAGACCATAGGTAAATGGACAGCGTGTTGCTCATAAGCACAGCAATGCGGGCTCCGGATTTGCTGAATGCAACGTCAATAGCGTTGGAGTCTAAAGTCAACTCGTTGTGCGCCATGGGAGGCGGCACACCAGCCATTCGCAACGGGGTCAGTTTGAGAGTTTCTAATGATTTTATCAGTAATGTTTACAGCTAGGCTCTATTAGAAGACTTACTGCCGTCGATGACAGCGACCGCGCCAACATCATCTGGAATAGACGTGGAACCATGGTTGATATCGAATACATAATCCGCGTCCAGTATCGATCCTGTTCAAATCAGCTTTCATTCTTGCTTCGCTCTTCATGCAAGTAAATCATACCTGAGGAGCCAGCAACAAATCGCAATGCCTTCTCTTGATGCCACTCAAAGGAGTATGGAAGCGAAGAACTTGTATCAACCGTGATAGGAAGCTCTTGCTTCAGATACCAATGGTAGTTGCCTGTTGTCCAGAACTGTACACGATCCTGAAACTTGACAGCAAGTACAGTAGAATCCACGTTCCAGGCAAGATGAATACGAGAAGCCCATGATTTCATCTCCTCTTCGGATAGACGGAGAGAGAACTCGCCGTGGCGGAGTCCGTTCCTTTCGAAGAATACCACATCGATCCGATCGTCGAGTCGCTGAATTCCAGCAATCAAGCTGCCAGACGGCCGCCAGCTCACAGCGCCTTCCAACCCGTCAACGGGTTCGCTCACACTGTCCAAAGTACCCTCTCTCGAGTACACCCTGATCACACGGCGAGTATCTGCTTCGACACTGTTTACAGCAACATAAGCCCCATCTCCTCGCCAGCTGATCGTAGTGCTAGTATCATCATGGCTACTCAAGATTCCTTGGTCGATCTTTTCCGGTACAGTCGGGTCTCGGAG